GCGGGAAAGCAGCTAGTTATTTTAAATTATTTTCCTTCTTTTTATATTATGTAGGTACTATATATTTAAATGCTGCAAAATATGTTTACTTACAAGTTTACTTCTGCCATTTTTACATTGTTAAATGAAAACCCATTTTAATTTTATTCATACTTTATATTTTCTTAATTCATCATTGAATGGGGAGAATGGGCAATGACAACCTCGGGGTCAATGCGAATTCTTGGGTGTTAAAATAAAAGAGATACATAAATTCATCCCACTTTGCTGCTATTAAATTTGCTGTGAATATATAAATCGTTGTACCTATGCAGTTATCCCACTTCAATTAGGGTAAACAACTGGCGACAAACGAACTTATTTAGGGTTAACCTCGCCGGAAGCACGGTGACATTATCAAAACATTACCCTTTTAGTACAAAAGTTCATCTCTTTTAAAGGGGAATGAAATTAATTACCTACCTTTGGGTTTTGCCCTTTAATTTACGCTCCACGTTTTAATAACGCACGCAATAGCTTAATATCGTGTCCAAGAAGTGGTTACATCGTCTCAGAGTGCCACGGACAGAGTAGATTTTTTAAGCATTTTTCATTAGGAATATTTGAATATTTGTAAAAAATATTTTTTTCCGCTGTTTGGGTGGATTGCCAGAGCATTGATGAAAATGTGCTCCGTGGTAACGAAAAAGTAACAAGTGCTTGAAAAGTTCGTCGGTCCTGTCCTAGTCCTGAGTGGCTCAGTGGTTGGAGCAGTCGTCCGGATTGCGAAAGATCGTGGGTTCGTGTCCCAACTCAAAGTGGAATTTTTATGCATTATTCACCGACTTCAAAAAAAGAGGTTGACCTGTTTGTATCTATGTATCTATATATGTGCGAGATTATCTCGCGTTTGGACCGATTTTGATAGGGTTTTCAGCATAGTATTTGTCTGACTTAGGAGATGGTTTCAGGTATATTAACCGACAAAAAAATGAGGTTTGCAGTTTAACACGATTTTAAGGTGGTTTTCAAAAAGTATTTTTAGTGTTACCTATTAAAACTAAAAAACATTAAATAAAAACTCTTTTTTTTAAATAGAAATAAATTCAACGTTCAACCTTCCAAAAGTGAAAAATAATATTTATTTCAAAAGCGACTTATTCAAGAAAGTGCTATCTAAATCGGGCGCCTATCATTTAATTAATAACCTAAAGAAAACCTCCGCCCGACATTGATAGTATTCGTTTTTTTATTTTGGAGTCAGTTCTATATTTTAAAAAGTTTTTCACTAAGAATATAATCTTAGTATAGATATACATATTATAACACAATATTGATATTATAACACAAACAATTTACCACAATATAATCACTTCATTATTGTTAGAATTTCATAAAGAAATTGGATTCCATTTAGTCTGTTAAAGTGGTCGTAAATATTTCATTCGACCTCTCAAACATAGGGTCCGCCATTTTGTTATTTGAAAAGATTGCTCTAACAATGCCCATGAAGAGCTTTTTTGAATAAAACTCTCATAAGGCGGAAATAATTAACACGATTGAATAAAACTTTTCAGCATCGCCTTGTTGTACCACAAAAGATCTAAAGAACTGAACGATGAATCGTAATCGTAACGTAAAAAAAGCTCTTCATGGGCATTGCCCATGAAGAGCTTTTTTGAATAAAACTCTCATAAGGCGGAAATAATTAACACGATTGAATAAAACTTTTCAGCATCGCCTTGTTGTACCACAAAAGATCTAAAGAACTGAACGATGAATCGTAATCGCATAATTGTATGACAATTCAAATTATTAGGACCCTTTCTAAGTAATAAACGAAAAAAAATTAAAGCCACTGTGCTTAACACAAAACTTCCAATCTAAAGTATTATTTACCTATAATATATAATAAGCGATGAAAACAATTCCGCCGTCCGCGCTACACCTAAAATTTATTATCCATAACACGAATACTCAATCGCCGATTCTAATCTTTTTAGTTCATTTTTTTCGCCCAGAAATAAAAAAAAAATACTGTCATTTAGGAATATATTCGGGAATAAAATGATGTGTAAATATTAAATTAATCATATTGAAAGCACTTTTTGTTAAACTTACTTGATTTTCAATGTGAAAATCCCATCAGGGTGTGTGTCAGTCACACTCTAATAATTAAATTTTATATTTTAATCAGTGTGACATTTATCGGATATTTTCCTAAGTTATAACCACTATACTTAATATTACAAAGTCACTAAAACTCTGTTAATAAAATAAGTCTTTTGAATAAACCCACAGGTTTTTACTTGCCTCTATCTTAGTAGAATCTATGGATATTATCACTTCGACCAGCTACGTAACTATAAATACTACCAAATAATAATACGCATAGTGCACATACATAAGTTGGTAACTAAACGACATGCTCAAAAAGTCTTCAAAACATACCAAACCGTGGTTTTTCGTGCTCTTACTAGAGGGAAAATATATATTTTTAATGTCGTCTGTCACCAAGGAGCCTACAAAAGTTTATTTAAGTAAATAAATGACTCGACTTATTATTGTTTCCTAAAAAAGAAGAACATTTTTGTTTTTAAAAAAGGAATTAAATGATCTCAATGGTTCACAGAACTCGTGCATTGCGTAAGAAGGAAAAAAGTGCTGGCTCGAAATTTTTCAAACTTTTTGACAATGAGAAAATATCCTTCTCAAATTCAAAATAGTTTGCATAAGTTGCGTCCAAAGTTCCGTCATATCTGGTGTCAAACTAATTATTATTTTAGTATGTAGTATCTTTTTTAATGCGTCCATTGTAAGAAATTAAATTGGTGACAGTTAAAGTAAAAGTAGATTGTAATACGCTTCGATTTCTACCTCTATATACTCCCTCGGTAAAGCTCAAGACTAAATTACCTCATAAATGATAGGTCATTTTAGTAATTTGTATAACAATTTACTAATGCCAATATTAAACATTCAAGTATAAATTTAAAAAAAATGCAGTCCATATATAAAGAAAAGTATGTCAAATTAAATAAAAATCCCTCCACTTAAAAAAACTACAAAAAATACATAGCAGTAATGCATCGAATACGAACGTTCATTTTTACTGAATATAATATATGCACTACTGTGTATAAGCGAACGAGTATTATATTACTTAATTTTAAGAGGATGATTTATCTCACAAATAGCAAAGCCCTAGAGCTAACGCACCTACAGATTGCAAATAGTTTTATACAATTGATCGTTATTATTATCGATGACACAGATAGACATGTCGATGGTTAAGCATATTTTTTAATATTAACCTTGTAATAAATGTTATACATTTTGGACAAATGGCGGCATTGGTAAATTCTGAGGCCTATTCTGATTTTCAAATCCTTCTTGTAATTTTATTGAAATTATATTCGTGAAGATTAGCTATGCATCGTAGCCAGTGTCGGATACTACCTGCGTTGAACCATAAATAATGAAAAAAGTTGATTATTTTGAAGTCATATTACCGTTTCCACAATAAATTTCATTATGAAACAGATCAGTCCTTCTGCTTGTATATTTTAGTAAAAAAAAATAGTATGTATATATTGTATTACCTCGTTAATACATTATTCGTAGTATTCGTAGTAGTCGTACTCGCCGAATGGTATATTCGATATCCGTATTTGGTAAAGTAATATTCGTTTCATTACTGGAATGGTAATTAACATATAACTTACTTATATGTTATATAGTGGGCTGAAATTTAAAATTAATGCCTTGATGTTTACATTTTGAAACATATTTTCTTTATTTTTCATGATCAATGAAAAGTATAAAAAAATTGGTATGGAATTCTAAGGGTGCGAATCTTACTCACTTTTATCCGGTTTTTACATCGGTGACAATATAATTTTTTATTAACTAATTGTATATATTACCTTATTTTTATAATCAATTGGTTTATGTGTATCTATTTTCAGAGTAATTAGATTTAAAATTACTTACGTGTTGATGCCAAATTATAGCTATGCCATCTTATAAATTATTAACTAAAACATTACAATAACCATATTTGGTAGATAGACCAAAATATTCCATTGAAGTCACTGACGTAACATACTTTCCGTTTAAAAAGGTTTTTAGCAGCGACACTGAAAAGCTGTTATCGGTGTTCATCATTCACTCGTGAAGCAGGAAAAGTGAATCATAACAGTTATGTACTATAACAAGCCTATTGAAACCTCTAGCTTTTCAATAGCTTCACCATATATTTTAGAAACAATGAGATCGTACTCTTTTTAGAATCATGAGTCGCCCTCGGCGTCCTTCAGTTTATTCGTCCCCTATCCCATTGAACGAGTCTGACTACCCCAAGCGTAAACCCTTACTGTGACCTATACACAAAGACACTCCAACAAGAAAAAAAAACTACGCTACTATCATTTTGAACTCAATGTATGCATACATGAAACAATCATTTGTAAATTTAAAAAGAACATACATTACTATTTGTTTGATCATATTCAAGAGTTCTGATCCCCGGTCGGTCTCGTTTCGTCTCCCCTGAACTCGAGTCCAAACCGAATGTCGTCATCAAAATTTACTCCTGCCTCCTCCCCCGTTCCTCTTGCTCGGGGCATGCGCGCCGTAAGACACGACGTAATCAAATTGCGATATTATGCCCTTATAGAGAACTGTCTATAATCAGATCATGTCGAAAGGAAGTCAATCAAATTGTCATCTTATACAATGATCGACAATTAATTTTGATATACTTAATAAAGTAAAAGCTCGCGTTTACACTAATGATATAAAACCACAAAATTAGTATGAGAATATAAATTAAAAAAAGCAAAAGTAAATACCACTTAATTTATTATGTTTAATTTTAAGAAATGTTAATTATAACAGGATTGGGAGCAGAATATTTTGCCGCCAGCAATCTTCACACACGCATGCGCTATCCCAAAACGACCCGCAGTAAAACGAGTGGTCACGTGACTTGACGCGGCATTCGCTCGTCGCACGTCGGCAGTTGTCGGCGAGCCTGCCTAGCGAACGGTAGTGTCTGTACGTGTCGGTACGAAATCAACACCTAAATGTCAAATGAGATGATTTCGAAAAAAAATAGTGACATGTGCTTCGTAATAACGTAAACATACATTGTGACGTTGCGTTTTTAGTGTCCCGTAGCGGTATACGCTGTTATTAACCGTTTTAATCTTGATGTTAGTAGTAAAATTTGTAGTCCCAGTTCTGTTCGTGATCGTGTTTTCGCTAGCCCATATAAAACATTATAGCTCGTCTTCGGGTTACTGATCTGAATGACAATGAGAATAATACATTATAAAAGTGTATTGTGATTTTTTTTTTGTATAAAAGATGCAGGAGTAATTCACGATGGACCGCGTGAGTGGGGTGTGTAGGTTTGGCGGAGTGATGTCGGCGGTGCGAACTAGAACAGGCAGAAGTAAACGCCGGCTGGGTGGTCACAATCCTATACCCGAAGACATGCCAGAGGCTCCAAGACGAGGACTGGGGGCGGTGTTGGTGCTAGCATGTATCGTCGTATATCACAACTGCTTATACTGCGGCTTCGTATTCGACGATATCAGTGCCATAAAAGAAAATAGAGACTTGAGACCACAAACACCCATCTCCAACATCTTCCTCAACGACTTTTGGGGAACTCCTATACATAAGGTGATAACCGAAACCAATCAGAAGTAAATTTTCAACTATACTGACAAGATTTAACTCATCAATATTGACTTACTTATAAGATTATTATAAAAACAACCATTTCTATAGAAAATCGTAGATCATCTACCCCAATAACAACAAAATCGTTTTTGAATATTCGCTGGTCTGCAATATTATTGTTCGTATATTTCTTTCACAAAAATAATAGACTTCTCTGCCTGTGACGTTTTCCTCGAGACGAAAACACAAAAAGGAATGGATAATTTTATTCTTAGAAGAGATGGCGTCTAACAATAACGTCGAGAACAAAATATTTAATATAACCATAAGTATCATTCATAACTTAAATATGTAATTTATGTCTTATCAACCTCCTTTGAAATCTTGTCAATACATCGGATTATTAAATTATAAGATATTTCCGATTATTATTAGAGAGAGAACTTTGAACGAACATGAGAAACTAGCGTTTTCGTATCTATCATATTCTGGTAGATCTAGATCTCTTAGTCTTAGGTCATAAATCTACTACTTTTGAAGTCATAAATAATTAATTAATATCATTTCATTAATATAGCCAATTCATGAAATGATATTAATTAATTATTTCAAAGATTTAGTTGTCTATAAAAACATGTGTTTTCGGGATCATAAAATTTCAAACTTTATACAGTTGCCAAAACCGACAATATTCACCATTTAATCAAGTGTACATCAAGTTTTAGAATCATCAAATTATATCAATCTATAAATTGTCTAGATAAAAACAATATCCAAAGGTTTGAATTACTGCGACACGTTACCTCTGTGCAGGTGTCGTAAATCAACCATTTACGTGTTGGTAACCGGCAGATTTATGATTGTAATCATCGTGAATGTTTTCAACTGTGAGCATTACCAACCCAACAGAATATACCACTTTATCGAGCAACTTCTCAACATCGTAATGTGATTTGTCATATCAATTATATTCTTATAGCAGCTTCTATATTTTATGATCATTACCGCTAGAGATTTTTTAAGGAAGGCTGCCTTATTCGATAGCAAGTTGCTTGTTATTTCATATGTCCTTATTCATCATCAAACTATTCTCATAAATTATTGACTGTTAACATGCACTCCTAACTATTTATCTGAACCTAATACACTAATATCAGATGTATCAGTCACTTATCTTTATTTTTTTCCGCTGCTTTAATAGTTTCTAGGGAGTACTTTTGCAGTATCGGTAAATCAGTGTTACAATATTAATTGAATAAAATAAATACAACATCTATTGTGCATAATACAAGTTAAATATAATTAAGAAATACAACCAAGGGACCTCTCTCTGCTGTTATATATTTCAATCCCAATATCTTTTGACGCCGACAACACGAGGACAATAGGGCAGCACTCTGGTCGAGACATTGTAATGGAAAGCATAATCAAAGTAATCGTTCCCTCTCTTATTCAAATGTATTCTCACTGAAATGCGAATATACGTAGCTTCGGTTCAGACACGACTCGCTTGGTTTAGCTTGTATGATGTGCAAAAATTTGTACCTAAAATACCTCGCACGAACATATTAACTTCCAAATCTTTCCCTTTTTGTGCTATTATAGCTTTCAACGGAGGGCAAATGATATATTGCCGGGGCATTATGTTTTGTAATATCTTTGTGGTTATTCAAATATTCTTGACTCCATTTAGCTGGTGAATGGTACAAGTTCGTGATTACGTCTTAAGGAAGATATATTAAATTCTAGAGGGTTGTCATTTAAAAGATTTAAATTTAAATATACTCACAATTCAAATAAAAATCTAAATGGATATATTAAAAACATGTTGTAGTTTAGCACTTAAGTTCCTGTCCATTATTAAGAAGCACGATCCTTGATTTATAATCAAGTATATATATCTTGTTTAAAAAAATTTTTTGTTGAAATTTTAATTGAAATACATATATTATGATACATATACATATATTTTTTTTAGAAAAAATAGCCTAAGCATTACAAACCTCAATTTAATTATTTAAGATAGTAATCAATTGTATCATACATATATGTATTTGTTCTTTTTATTGATTTTTATAATCGTAATATGATTCACAGTAGTAATAAAGTAGCTGTGATATGTGGACAACCAGACAGGCAGTTCCATTTTTTTCGATACGATAACCTAAAAATGCAAAAGTAAATCTTGTCAATAAAAAATAATAAAAGTTTTAAATATGAAAAATGTTGACTCATGTCTCAAAATCATAACGAGCTTCCAGTAATATAACTATATTAAAAATTCCAAAGATACGAACTCAATTTCGCTTTACACACATAAAACGTAATTACCCTTGCAAAATGGTTGAAGGAAATTGCAAAGAGCCATAATGCTACACCCTGAAGTTATCAAGTTAAGTGCACTCTTAAACATAACCCAAGAGCTGTTTCAAAATGGTGAAACAATCCTAAATTTAAAACACAAGTGAATGTCGAATTAATCACAGTGAAGAGTTCTCTATTAAACTTTGCGAGATAGGAAATATTAAAGATAAAAGTTTTAATTTCATTATCAGAAATGTCAATATTACATGCCAATACATTTAAAACTAGTATATCAACTGTAAAGCTAAAAGCACAGTTTCGGGGCTAAAAACTGATAGTGATATTTAAAATTAATTTGTTGTCAAATAGTAACTAATAATAACAAATCCAATCATTTTGGAAATAAAATATTCGGAGGCATGAATTACGTGTTTGATAAGAGTCAATAATATATGTGAAAAAAATAATGAGTGTTGTCCATTTTTGGTATGGTAACGAATTGATAATAAAAAAAATCGAATGATATACCTTACAAAATATTTGCTACGTTTAATATTAAGGACGTTTATTTGTATATTTAAAACGAATTTTAAAGATGTATCTATATTGACGTTATTTTGTTTTATGTCGCACCGCCTTCTTAAACTCTCTATTTCATAACTACGGCTGACTGGTAGAGAATGCCTACTAGCATTAAGTTCGCCAATAGTACGCTTTATTTGTGCAATGAAGTTTAAATACATAAATAAATTATAATGGACAAGTTGTACCTAATAATTGTTGTAACTGAAGATTTCAAAACAATATCATCGGCCTTGTAATTTTATAACCAAAAGGGGTATATTACAATGAGTATCGAATACATCAAACTTAATATAAGATTCGTTGTCTATGAATCGAGTACTTAATTAATAATAATCAACGTTTGTCAAGATGGACAAAAACATATTTTCGTCAAGTTTTCGCGTGAAAACTTTTCACTTAGGAAACTCCACAACACCAGGTGCTTCCAGAAAGATTTCGTGTTTCAATTCTGCCAGTGGTTCTGCGTAAACAATCAAATCTTCAAAATGGGAACTTTGCTCCGTTCGTAAACAGACTACTTATTCCGGGACAAAGTTTGAACGAAAGAGTTTTTCGATTGTTTTCCCCGATCCGGTCGAGGCGGTGTGATTATTCAGATAACATGCCTGTCGAGACCCAATCCCACGGATTAAGAAAAGAAATGGCGAGGGATCCAAATGCGGACAAGTCCGTAGTTTAGGCTTGTACAGGGAAAATTGTTTTTTTATCAAAACTTCCTTTTCCAATATTCTGTTCCATATTATAATTTGACAATGATCGTCCTGCTAGCGAATGTTCTAAATAATTGTCTTTATTTCTGAAATATAAATTCCGTTATCATCTCTAGCTTTGAATTTATACAAACAAACTTATTCAAAAACGATAATCATACTAAAAGTAACATTATCGTCAAAGAATGACAACCAATGGCAATTGCTTTCAGTATGAAAAATGATTTTAGCTCACTATGATTACTATGTTACATTCGATAGCTATGTTCGTTAAATATTATCAGGAAGCTCAATATGCGATAATGAATCCTTGGAATGCACACGTGCAGGATAAATGGGGTCGACAGGATTAAGCAGCATTTAAATAAAAGCTTAATGCCGTTTCACATGTCAGCTTAGGCGAATGCTCTGTGTACTGGTATATCCAGAATGCAAATAAGACATCCCAATATAGCGACAACCCGTTTATTTATAAATGTCTACGGTTGAAAGAGAATCCTTTATGTAAAGACATGTTTTATTTATTGCCGCTATAAGGCTCGTTGGTTTTTCTTACAATGCAGAGTTATAACAAAGTCTGATCTGATTGAAAATCTAGATCAGTATTTTGAATATAATGGCCCAACGACTCGACTTTATGGAATGTATTAACCTTCCATTACATATTAGTCGAGTGATGTTGAAAATTGACTGTAACGTACGAAAGAAAGAAAATATAATATTATTTATATCACTGTTAGTGGCATTCAATGGATATACTTGTGAAAGACCAATTACAGGGAAATTTATTAAAATTCATATAAATAAAGAAATTGCGAAATGTAAAGTATTTCAAAACGAAATAAAAGAGATGAATTGAAATAAATTTTGGGGGATAACCATAGATTTTAATTTACATGTTATTATTTAATTATATTCTCTGAAAGTAAAAAATAGGACTCACATAAAATCTACGAGTAAGTTAGTATAAATAAAATTTATCCTTCGAAGCGTCTTAAAAGCTGCTTACTTAGTTATTTCATTTGTTATTTTTCGATTAATAATTTTAAAGTTATTCTTGACAATGTGATGTACTATTTCCACGTATAATATCATCCAAAATTTTGTTACAACCATGGACTTACCAAAGTCTATAATATTAGTCCATTATTTTTAAAGATGGCTATGATGATACAGCTACTAAATTGAACTTGATAGTTTTATTATAGCCTAAAACGACTTCTTTCGTTTCGTAATTCAACCATAAAGATATTAAATTTTATTAAATTCCAGATTAAAGCTTGTTCTTACGAGATTTAACTTTATCTAACTTTACGTAGAATTCTCTCTGAGAAAAGCTATAATTCAGTTCGAGAAATATTTCTACTATTTGAAACGAGAAACTGCAAGAAGAGGTATTAA